CTATATTTTCATCCCCTCCTGGTGGGCTGAGGCTGGATCCCTTCCCAGTGACCTCTTGCCATGGGCCCAGTACTGCTGACTGCGCAGGACCCTGCTGGTTGGGGCCAACAGCAGGAAGCAGCACTCAGCTCTGTTTGAGGGTACTGCTATGTGAGCCCATGGCTATACCAATGGGCCCTGTGCCCCACAGGCCCAGTTAGGGCTCCCCAAGAACAGCCTGCCTCCCCAAGGTGCTCATACCACCCAGCAGGCATTGCCCAGATCTGCAATCTTGATCTTGATCTTGTCTGCATTTTGGGGCTCCAGGGGGTTCACCAGGAGGTTTGAGGCACCAAATGGTGCTGGGAATGAAAAGGGAGAGAGAAGTTGAATGGCTCAGCTCCTGTCCCTGCCTGCCCACTGTCTCCTGTTCCCCACACTTACTGCTGGGTGACAGGAGTCCCCCTGTTTCACGCTGATTGGACGAGCCTGAAAGGATGGAGCAGGAGGCCGGCGAGAACAGGGAGCCTGAGAAGCCAGAGGTCTGCGAGCTGGGGCTGAGACTGCGGTCACCCCCAGGGGCAGGGGAGGTGGAGGCTGGGGAGGGGCCAGCCCTGGTGCCCCCAGGATGGCAGCCTGAGGAGGAGGTAGAGCCGCTGCCCCCCTCTAGTCTCGATCCAGAATCTGGGGAGATGGGGCAGAAGTCCTCATGAGCAGACAGCCCATGGCCTGTGCACACACTTGGCAATCCAGTGCCCTCTCCAGGCCACTCACCCTCAGCCTGGGCTGCAGCCTCCATGGCCTCTAGCCTCTGCAGGTCTCGCAGCCGCTCCTCCAGCAGCCGCTTCTGCTGTTTCCGCTTGCGCCTCATCTTCTTCCTCTTATTTTTGGACAGCTTACCAGTCTGCCGCCAGAGTCAGGGTCACCCCCAGGGTTCCCATCCCCCAGCCAGTCTGACAGTGGAAGCTTCCCTGTCTAGCCCAGAACCCAGGAGTCCCCTGGATGGCAGAATATGGTGCCACTACCCTCTACTCACCCCTTGACCTCACCCCTCACCCATCTCCTTACCTCCCCTCCTGTCCCTGCACTTATTCCCTAAAGCTCTGTAGGTTGGAGTGGACATCATGGGCCTGCCTCTAGACTATTCTCTCTCCCCTTCCAGGCCCAGCAAGGGTGGCCTGAAGTAGCCAACAGAAGAAGATGCAGCATCTTTCCACTGAGGCAGTGTTGGGCCCAGTGGCCACAAAAGAAAGTTTGGAGTACATGACCCACCCTGTGTATCACTGGTACCTGGGCCACCCAATGTTTTTGGCTGGCTCTGAGGAGTTGGCCTCCCCTGACATGGAGGGGAGAGGGCACAGGTAGAGAGGAGTGCCCCAACTTACCAAGACCTCCTGGGGGGCAGTGCTGACTGGGGATGCAGGTGGGGTGGAAGGAGAAAAATAAGTGGAGATTCAGTCAGGGACTGAGTGCCTAGAGGCCTGGACCCGGCCCTGCACATGCTTGTGATACCTGTGGAGCGGGATGGGGGTGGGGCCCCTGACTGCTGCCACTCTGTGGCCTCTGCTGCCAGGCGCCTGATGTAGGCATCACCCACACACAGCAGGATGTTTTCAGGCTTGATGTCCGTGTGGATGATCTTACATTTGGTGTGGAGGTAGTCTAAGCCATGCAGCACCTGGGAAGAGCCACATCTGAACTCCAGCATCCCCTCTCAGGCTAGGCCAGCCAGCTGGGGGGATAGCACTCACCTGCCTCACAATGCTCTTCACACAGGGAACAGGCAGACCCTGGTAGTTGGACTTGATGATCCATTTGAGGAGCTGGTGGCCCAGGACCTCCAGCACCATGCACACATCTGGGTACTGGAGTGAAGGGTGGCCAGCGAGCACACAGCTGGGGCACACGCCTTGCCCACCCTCAGCTGAGAGGGGAGAGCAACAAAGCTCAGGCTCCACAGAGGTGGAGGAGGCAGAGCTTGCCATGAGCAGTCTTGGTGGCCACCCCTGTCTTGGTGTTATTATTTATAGTGTCCCTGTCACCATCAGAAGTGTGCCAGTGGGATGGTATGTTTTATGGTCATCCTAGAGATGGCACTGGAGGAGCAGATATGCAGTCCTCAGGCTAACCCTACTCCTATGCAGAGTTAGGCCTTTTTGGGTAACCCCAGCTGTTTGGGGGTAGTTCAACATTCACAGATCATCAGCAAGCTGGTTACCCGCTCTCGTGCCCCCCCATAGCAACACAAATACCCAAAGGGGTGGGGCTATTTTGTAGTGTTCCTGGGAGAAATAAAGCCCTTTGGTGCAGATCAGCAACTGAGGCCCTGCTAGTTAGGAAGGCAGAAGCTGGCCCTTTGCTGCTCTGCTCATCCTACAAAGGATACGGACTCCATTCACCCCTGAGATCCTGAAGTCATCAATGAGCTGAACGATGGTTTCTCTTTTGGGGTCACTGGGGTCACTGTCCCGGACCTGGAACAAAAGCCAAGGGGCCATAGATGCCTTCAACCCACCCCTCACCAGCTGCTCCCCTTGGCAGTCCCTGGTTGGAAGTACAGGGATAGTGTCTGGCCCCACTTTATGCCCTAGCTGGGTCCCACTGGAAGGAAGAAAAGACAACCTCTCCACCCCGTGTGATCTTCAAGGTTCTCCTACTGCAGAGCCAGCTGGAGCCCGTGCCTCTTGTTGTCCTGTCCCACTCAGCAGAGCCCCAGCAGGCCTTGCACCCATATTGCCAGGCCCAAGGCAGTTCCCAGGAAGCCAGAGCGGTAGGGAGGTGCCTCACACATTTCAGGAGCTTGATCTCATCCACAGCTGTCTCAGTGTAGTGCCCAGCACTCTTCACTACTTTCAGGGCTACGAAGCGCTTGCGCCTGCAATACCAAGACCCTTGTCAGCTGCCGGCCATAGTGGTGGCCTCAACCAAGCCCAAAACGGGATCCCAGCAAGCACCGGGTCCTGGGGACGGAGGGGCCACTCACTGGATGTCCCAGCAGAGCCAGACGGTAGAGAAGTGGCCCCAGCCCAGTTTTCGCACCACGTGGTACCGCCCATTGAACAGGTCACCAATCTTCACTGGGTAGTAGCCACCTGCCGAAGAGAGCCAGTAGATCATCGTGGGGGTGTCTCCCTTCCTGATCCCCAGGACAGCCATCCCTACCAGCCACCCAGCACACGTGGGCCCAGCCTTCAGGCACCCTTTTCCTTCCAGGTTGACCTGAGCTCCTGCATTGGCAATCTGGCCACATGTACCCAAGATTGGCCTCACCCTTGCAATAGTCCTTGGGGTCTTCCTGTTCCTCGTCATCAGAGCCCAGGAGCCCCTGAAGCATTGGAGGTGCTGGTGTAGCTGGGGCTAGTTCAGAGCCTGAGGACTCGGGCCCACAGGAGGCTTGTGAGCTGTGGGTGGAATGGGCGGGCAGTGAGTGCTTGAGGAGCCAGGGACCCTGGACGGCCGGGCTAAGTCATACCTGCTGCTGCTGCCGCCACTGTCGCCTCCGCCGCCACTGCCGCCCGCGCTGGCGCTCATCCCGGCCTTGTGGCCCGCGGCTCCGGTGCCCTGGGCGGCTGCTCCTGTGGGGCCTGGCTCTGGCCCGTGCATTTATAACCTCGGCTGCTGATCTCAGTCGCCTTTATAAATAGCCTCCCAGCTGCTCAGCTGTGGGCAAGGTATGTGGTGCAGGGAGGGGGCGGCCCGGCTGACCGTGGCCTGGAGAGCCCGGTCCCCAGGCTTGAGGCCCCCTGCTTCACCCACACCCCAGGGGAAAAGGGGGCCGCTGTGCTGGGTACACCTAGAGACTCAGTCCCTAAGCTGAGTCCCCATGCCCCAGGACCAGCTGAGGGGGGCCTTTACATGAAGACAAAGCAATCCAGAGCCCAGGCCAAGGTGCCTGCACTCCAGGGCTGGCTACTGGGGGCCTCCCATGAAAGGATGTAGTTGACATGGTGACCAGGTCCTCAGGCTGAGCTCCACCCCTTCATACTGCAGGCCACCAGCAGTGCTTTTGGAAGTTTTGGAGCATTCTGGGAGTCCTGGAGGTGACCTCTCCCAATCCTACTGGGAACCCATTCTCTGCCCACTCCTAGTCCTGTTTCCAGGTTTTTATAGGTCCCTAATACAGTGGGAGCCCAGATCTCCCCTGAGTGTTGTGTCTCTGGGGTCCCCCTGACCGAGGGAGTCAGGGGCGGGACCTGAGAGTGACTCATTTCTCCTCCAGAATTGTACCACTGTGGACTGCATGACCTCCCTTCCAGCTCCAGGGCTGGCTACCTGGCTTTCCTGTTTCTGCCAACATTTGTCAGATGCCCACTGTGGGACAGCACTGACCTGTCTACCTTGGGGAACAAACAGCCCACAGCCACTGCCCAAGGACTGGAAGGCAACAGAAGGAGCCTGTGGCCTTAAGGCTGCATCCTGAGAGACCAAGAGGAATTTGGTCCCCAGAAGTATCCAGGGCAGTACAGAGCACATCTATGGCTGAGGCCTGCAGACAGAATGTGCTGGAGACCTCCACATGCTGGCCATGCTTTAGCATGGCTAGGAGCTGGGGGGATAAGAGGCTTTGGTGGCTGAGGGGCCCTGCCTGGAATATGTGGGTGCCAGTGAAGGGTTCCAGTGAGGCTGACAAGCACTTTTGCTTTTAGAAAACGCACTGGATGCTTCTAGAAAAGAATAGAAGGGCTAGACTGGAGATAGGAGGCAAGTTTGGGACTGCTGGGGCTGTCCGCAAATGAAGTGGAGGGGGCTGGGCAGTGACAGTGCTTATTCTGAGATGAGAGACACTTGGTCCAGTGTCCTGTCAGGAAAGAACTGATATGGGCAAGACAGGCATAGATGGAGGGGGCAGCTTTCTTGTGGGCCCTGGGGAGGTTAGGAAGGGAATGGGGAGGGCAGAGCCGGAAGGCCTAATAACTTCTTTCCCCTTGGGTAGCACTCACAGCTATGGGGCCATGGGGGTACCAGCCCAAGGAGCATGAAGTTGACTCTTGCAGCCACTGCTGGGGATTAGACTTTTTTTTTTTTTTTAAAGACGTATTTCTGTTTTATTTCCAGATTCTCCAGTAAGCAAATAAATACAGTTGGAGAAGGGGTAGGGATTGCTATAAATTAGAAATAAGCCCTGTGGTGAGGCAGTGGGCACTCAACACCACCTAAGTTCTGCAGGCCCTCCTCAGTCAATGGCTCGGTTCAGGGACCATAAGGTACTGTGGTGATGTGTTCTCTAAGCTCACAGGTCAGTCACTTTGTTTTCCACCAGGGCAGCAACCTGCTGCAGGCGGCAGGCTAGCTGCATCTTCTGGCCCACCGGGTCCTCCTCCAGGGCACTGATGATCTGCCAGGGCAGAGGAGGGTATCCACCTGAGGCCCCACCCCTGTGATCATTGACCCCGGGGCTGCCTAGAAGTTCAGGAAACACTGCTGGGGCCTCCCGGGAAATCCAGAGGCAAGTCAAGCCCATGACTCAACCTGGGCCCTTCCAGCCAAGGCTGGCACCCCTTCCTTCCCTCTGCCTGGATTAAGCCACCCCCAGGGGCATTCTGTGAGCCTCTGTCTTGGTTTCACTTCATTCCAGGTACTTGCCTCCTCCCCTCCATAGTGTTCTGGGCCTCACCTGGTCATAATACCTGTGGATGTGGTTGTAGAGTTCCTGTAGAGCCTCGAGACAGTGGGAAACGGAGGTGTAGTTCTGGGGACAGCATGTAGCGGGCAGTAAGGCCTCAGCCCTGGTCTCAAGCCCCAAGGCTCTCCCCTTGCTCTGCCAATGAATCCCCCAAGATATGGAGGGCAGTGCCCCTGGGCCATGCCTCACCCCAGAAAGCTCAGCCAGAGCAGAGTTCATCTCCTGGTAGCTCACCGGAGGGCTCTGGCGAATGTCTGCATAGTATCTGAAGAAGCGCACAGAGTTAGGGACGGGCACCTTCCTGTGCCTCCCCCCAGCTGTAACGGCTTCGACACTTACTTCTCCACCATCTGCTTATAGCGAGGGATCTCCCGGGCATAGAGCAGTTTGTTCACTGGGGAATCCTTTTCAAGACAGAGGAAGGGCTAGGAGTGAGCAGGCTTGGGGACCCAACAGCACCCCTGCCTCTGGACAGGGCTCACTGCTCCATTCCACCCGGCTCAGGCTCTGCACAGGGCACCGTGGCTTCCCCCAAAGGGTTTTCCTCTGCAGTCCCTGCCAGCTGGCGCTGGCTACTGCAACCTCACCCGGCCCACTTTATGCTCCGAGAGGGTACAGGAGTCGATGAAAGTCTGTGCAATGACGGCCAGGATGGCATCCACGTTGTCCGACACCCGCACGTCAAAGAGCAGTTGTGGGTTCTTCAAGGCATTCACCCAGAACCGCAGCAGGAGGCTGGAGACACAGGCCAGGTGTGGGGATGAGACCGGGTCACTGTGGCCTCCTCCTCCATGCACTACAGCCCACCCTTTCCATGCAGATGTCACTGGAGCCATCCATGCAGGCAACCAGGGACCCCAGCCTTGCTCTTCTCTAGGAGCTGTCCTCATGGCCCAGGTGACCTTCCTGTGAGTCCATGCTGGGGGGGTGAGGGGTTGTTTAAAATCTGGCTGGGTTCCTGTCTTGAACCTGCTGTCCTGTTCTGGGAATGTCCTTGTTCCTCTGGGATTCAATGGATCAGTAGCAATAAGTAGGGGGTCGACAGGAAAGGCACCTGTTTGTCTTCCAGATGTGCAGGGTCTCTGGGTCCTCAATGCCATGCTTTTCTGCCAGCTCATCCAGGAAGTCAAACAGGTACTTGACAGCAATGGGCACAGGCCGGTTCACGCTGAGAATGGCTTGGAAGGTGTCATCCACAAACTTCTGCAGTGTACCCTGTAAGCAGGACAAGAGGGCCCTTCTGCCTTTCTAGGACCATTCCTGCTCCTAAGCTTCCCCTATGGCCTGGCTCCCCTGGCTACACTAACCTTCATGGACAGCAGGCGGGTGAGGTAGATTTCTGGGATGGCCTTGGCCCGGGCCCGTTCCCGTTCCCGTTCTCGGAGGCTGCTACGCCGTGCCTTGGCCCCTTCTGGCTCCTCGGTGGCCTTCACTAGGTGCCAGAGGCGCACCCCGCCATCGTCACCATCCTCCAGCATGGGAATGTCTAAGGGCATGGGAACCTGGCCTCAGTCCCATGCCCCTTCCCCCATCCTGCACAGTGGCCTGGGAGGTGCCCTGTGCTCAGCCTGACACCTTATGGCTCTAGAACCTCCAGGCCTTGGCTCAACCTCGAGCTTTGGCTTGCCTGCAAGGGAGCTGACATGACCAGGACTCCTTCCTGCCCAGCTTTGGGCTCTGTGAACCTAGTGTGGACTCCAGTCCCCTGGTGCTTCTGGGGCAGATAGGTGTGTCTGGGCCTGAGGAACTCACTTTCTCCTGAGGGGCAATTCTGAGCCAGGCTCTGGGAAACAGCGCCACCATTGTGCAGCTGAGGGATGAGCCCCACTGTTGCTCCATCTGGGACCTGGTGGGGAACAGGGAAGCAGAGTTCGGTCCCTTTACTGCCATCTGATTCCTAAGGCAGGGACCTGTCCCCTACTCCCAACCAACTTGCCCTGCCCCTGCCCACCCAGCACCTTGTAATGCTGAAGAGTATTGAGTCTCTTCCAGTGGTTCTGAGTCACTGAGGTCAAGTCCTCGTCTGACAGGGTTAGGTGACCAGCCAGGCCTGAGCGCCACTCTGGGGAGACCCAGGGAAGCCCATCAGCCACAACATGTTTCCCATCTGTAGTAAGGCAGAGCTGAGTGGCTACATGTGGTGGAGGCAGTAGGGATGGGGGAGGTGGGGCTGTCTCTCTCACCAAGGTCTAGGGCATGCACTGAGGGCCTCTGGGAAAAGGGGGTGCCTTTGTAGACTTGGTCCAACACCTTCTCCTTGACTTGGGTGATGGTGTCTGTGTCAAGCACCCGGGCTGGCAAACGCTGCATCTCGCTGCTCCCTACTGCCGCGCCAGCCCCAGGGCCCACAAGCACCATCAGTGTCAAGGGCCGGAATTCCACATCCTCCCGCAACAGGTGGCTGTCATTCAGGGTCCGTTTCGCCTTGCCTGTCACAGCATCCACAGGGCCCTTGTCCACCTGGTACTGGATAGCGCGGAAGAGCATGTACAGTGGCTCACCAGCCACTTCCTGCAACCATCAAGGTGGACCAGCATTGGCCACAGGACCAGGATGCTCAGTGATGCCCAGCAGAGGACATAGCAGGAATAAAAGGGGTCATCAGCACCCCAGAACAAGGATAGATGGACAGGTCGCTGCACTGGGGACCCGAGCCCTTTTCGCCTCTGCCTCTAATCTGGCCCTGGAAGGGGTTTGAGTCTTCCCCTTTCCAGAACTCCCTCTGGCTGGGCCTCACAGTAGGCCCACAGGACAGGGAGATAGCTCTCATGACCCTCATTTGATGGCCCATCCTGAGTCCTGCACAAGGCCCCTGGGGAAAGTTGGGCACTGGTCAGAGAGGCTATAGGCAGGCAGCATCCCCAAGAGCTGGGGGGCAGGAGAGTGCCATCGGGCTGGGGGCAGGTTGCACAGTGACCCTCACCCTCAGGAAGGCATAGAGACAGATGGACAGCCAGTTGGTGAGCAGCTTCTCCACCATGGTCTCTGTCCTGTGGGGAGAAAGCCCCAGGACTCCTATGAGAATGTCCCTCAACTCCTCTTCTAAATCCCTCCTGGCTCCACCACCCCAGGGCAGAGCCTGCCCAGGGTAGGGACAGATCACTAGTGAGCTCCTGTCCCTGCCACTATGCCCAGGTCAAGACCCACCTGCGTAGCATGAGCTTGGGATTCTTGTGTACATAATGAGCCGCCAGGTCACCAAGCAGAGTCCTCATGATGTCGGTCAAGTATTCAAGCTTGCCATGCAGCACCAGGGACAGGAGCGAAGCTACGTGGCAGCGATCCCTCTGGGAGAAGCCAGGCTGCTCCTCCAGGGTGCGGATGAGCTACACAGGAAGCTGGTGTTCACTCTGGGAAGCCCCATGCATTCCTCCACTTCTGTGCTCACACCCCTCTCCCAGCCTGGCCTGGCCTGTCCCCAGCCCCACCTCTTTGCCCATAGAGGCCTTCTTCCCTGCCTGCCCCCAAGCACCCACGAGGCCCTCACTGTGAGGAGGAAGAGTTTGCTGTTGAGAAGGTTGGAGAGCTGCGTGAGGCCCTGGCGAACAGTGGCACGGCGGCCTTCTTCCTCAAGCCCCTCGAGTTCTGGAAGCAGTGGGCAGCCACCATGGCCAGGAAAGAAGGCGCGCTCAGCGAATGTGTGGTAGTCCAGGAAGGGGATCCCGCTGGCCTCAAGGTCGCTGCTGAGGTCTGTCATCTCAGTCATCAGGTCTGTAGGCCAGAAGCCACCAAGATGTGGGCTCAGGCCCAGTGGGCCCTCTGCCCTCCTTCCCTGCCCCCACACACCTGTGAACTCCTTGCGGCACTGGTCACCCACACCTGTCTCCAGGTTCTCCAGCTGTACCAGCACCTTCTGGTAGTCCCGCAGGGCCTGCTTGCTCTTGTGCCTGCAGCCAAGGGCCATGTGTCAACCACTGCCCTAGGCCAGGATAGCCATCTACCCAGGTCCTGCCACAGGGCATCCTTGCCAGCAATGAAGAGGGAAGTTTGTGCAGGTTTGTACAGGGGGAGAGCCCTCCTCACCTGTACATGAGGGTGAGGAGGAGCACAGCGGCAATCAGCACGGCAGCACCCATGCCCAGGCCCACCTGGGCCTCCACAGGGAAGGTAGACATGGTGGGCTCCGCTTCATACTGGACGGGGCCCAGGGCCAGGCGCACGTTGCCCATCTGTACCTGAGGGTGTGGGGGCAGGGCTCCTGAGCATGGGTTTGCAGCCTGCAGCCCACCTGCCTGGGGCGCATACTCACCACAAACTGCGGCAGGGCACTGGAGCTGTTGGTGGGCTGAGGGGCGTGTGGGGGTGGCTCACAGTACAGGTGGGTGAGCGTGAGCGTCTTCACCAGGCACTCACCATCGCCAATGTGCACACGTACCTCCTCTTTGCTGATTCCCAGGTTGAGGCCCTCGCCCTGGGACACATGCCAGGAACTTGAGCTGGCTGCTTGTACTGGGGGCCCTGAGCGCCCTGGGAATGCACAGCTGGGAGACGCTCACCTCCACATCCAGGATGTGACCCGGCTTGAGGCGATAGGGGCGGGCGAGTCCCTCACGGCTGAGTGGGGCCAGGCGGGGGTTGGGCTGGTACAGAAAGCTCTGGCCCCCACTGGCACTAGCAAAGTCCACCTGCACATTGTCCAGGGTGAAGAATACCCGCTTTGGGTGGGCCCCATCTGGTACAGCAGGGCTACGGCACAGGAGGAGGCCGGACGAGTTGACAGAGCAGATGGTGGAACACTGCGCGGCAGTTAGGACCGGGAACACAGGAGGGTCAGTTAGGGTTCCCTTTTTCATTCCTATAGACATACTGTTTGGCCCTGCCCCCGCAGCCCCCAAGCAGGCCTGGGGACAGCCCTGTCACCAGCTGGTGTGGAGGGGCTCACCTGTAGCAAGCCTCCCCCAAGCTGGATACAAGTCTGGGGTTCTGCAGCAGGGGCTTCACAGCTCCTCCTTGGGTTCAGGTCCTGGGGCTGAGCCCCCAAAGCCTTTACCTCTGCTTCGGCCTCCAGCCACACGGACAGCAGGGGCTGCCACACCACATCCAGGCCTGTGCCCCGGACATGGATCAGCCGCCCGCCCCTGGGCCAAGATGGAAGTCAGAGGAGTGGGAGGTTGGTGGGTAGCCCTGCACAGCCCCAGCTCCCCAGCTCCCCTGTGGCTCAGTCCACAGCTGCTCCATGGGCTAGCCAGGCTCCTCACCCCCGGAAGCTGACACTGGGCTCTGCTGCCACAAGCTGGGGGTTGGCAGTGTAGCGGAAGGGGCTGCTGAGTAGTTTGCGCTCAGCATGGCCAAAGACCACAAGGACCATTGCTTCTCCTGGTGTGGCCTGGGGCATGGTGCGGCACACAATGGTCTTAGGACACACTGGCTCCTGGCTGCAGGGAGTGCAGGAGGAATTGTTATCTTGGGCTCTCACTGTTACCTTTCATCCCCAGCCCTGCCCCAGCTCCCAGTGATAGGCCCACTTTTCAGAGACCACCGAGGCAAAAATAGTACTACTTCTCTTAGAATTTGATGGTGGCCTTGAATCCACTGCCCTCACTATATAGGAGGGGACACCCACAGGGCATATCCCCACTTGGCAGCAGCCGGACCTGGGCCAGGAGGCAAGCAACCTCTAGACCTGGTGGGCAGCAGGGTAGATACTTACATAGGACAGGGTTGGCCACCCACAAAGGCGGTGATGTTGCCTCCTGTCTGGAGGTGCTGCCCATGGATGGTGAGCTGGGTGCCCCCTGCTTGAGGGCCCCACCGCGGACTCAGGCTCAGCAGGACAGGATCCTGGGGAACAGAGAAGACTGCAGTAGGCATGGCAGTCTGGCCTGGTGCTTCCTTTCCTGGTGCCCATCCCTGAGGTCCTAGGGCTTTGTGGTACAGGCCCAATTCTTGGTTTCTCAAGTGTCAGGGGCTACAGCTAACCATGCCCTCCTTTCATAAGCACAGTTCTAGCTTCTGTAGCTCCTCATTTTCCAGCTTTCCTTCAATCTGCTGCTGCCCCAAGTCTCTCTTCACCATCAGTATTTCCCCTTGGGACTAACTTGCATCCTGAGTTAAACCTCAAGATCCAATTGCCTTCTCGAGGTGCTTTGTGTGCCAAGCATAACTCCTGGTCCTTACCCACCCCTGCCTCCTACTGTTAGCATTCTGGGATACCTGACCCAGAAATGCCCTCCTAGATGCCCAGAGTTCAGGCTAGCACCTGAAGGTGTCCCCACAGTCCTCTGTCCTGTGCTCCTGCAGGGAGCCAGGCCCACAAGTTCTGATAGCTCTATGTCAACTCTGGCCCAGCTGTCCACCACACTTGCTCCAAAAGCCCAGTGCCCTCCTGGACAGCTGCCAATGGCTTTGTCCTTGCTCTCTTGCCACTGTCCCCAGCTTCCTCTCCACTGAGATCATGTACTTTCCCTTCTGAACACACAGCAGTGCTTCTTGCGACCCTTGAATCCAGTTTGATGTCCCCACCTAGCTGTCTGGTCGCCCTTCCCACTGTCTCCTACATTACACCACTCTGAGGTAGACACTGACCTGGTAGGTGAAGTGCTGGATTGAGATGCCTGGTGACCGACTCTTAATGGCCACTTGGACCGGCCCAGTGGTGCCATTAGGGGCAGGAGATGTCACACACACAATCCTGATGAGCAAGGTCCAGTAGTGCCTCAGTGCCCCCTGCGGAGCCTTGGGCAACTGCCAGCCACCTCCTGGAGCCCCCTCCTGCCCACTCTCCCTCACCCACTTGCTTTCCTTTTGCACACATACCCAGGACCCCCATTTCTTGATGGCAAGCCTCCCTTCTCTCTGGGTGGCTGGTTTCTGAGGGCCTACCCTGGGCGGCCTCCCCACCCACTTCTGCCTGCCAGGCGCCTCACCGGGTAGAGGTACGGTAGAGAGCGGGGTCGGGGCTGCAGGGCTGGCCGGCCACACTCACAGCATCTTGCACATCAGCAAAGGCCCGACCCAGGTTGGAGCCCAGAATGGTGAGGGCCAAGCCACCCTCTGTGGGGCCAGTCAGAGGCTCAATCTATATCAGGGAAGGATGGCAGATGGGGCACTCCAATCTCACAGCTCACTCTGCAGCAGGGGTGCCCAGCCAACCAGCTGGACTGTGGCTAGGCCCGGCTGTTAGGGATTGGGGGCCTGAGGCAGTCAATCTGAACTGAGGGGAGGTAGGACAGTGAGGGGCAGGGGAGAAGTGGGAGACTGGGTCATGGAGGAGGGTGGTGAGCAAGGGCCCTGATGGAGAGTGGCTCACCATATAAATGCTAGGCATGGGACACAGTAGCTCCACAGCTCCTGGTGGGCACAGGGGCCCATAACGACAAGTAGGCTGACCATCACCACACCACAGGCAGCCCAGGCTCCCATTGGCTGCCTGGCAGTGGCTACAGTCAGGGTGGCCCACAGCACAGTCATACAGGATCACTAGGAAAGGCCAGGCATGCGCTGAGGTAGCACTGTTGTGCTGCATCCCCCGCCCCCTCCTGCCCTGGTACCCCCGAGCTCACCATGAAGAGCATGGGCATTGTCCAGCCGCTGGACCTCGCCCCTAGTGACGTAGATGGGCACTGGGAGCTCCCGCTGGGACATGGAGGGGTGGAACTGTGGGTGGAGTGCAGGGTCAGAGTTGACCCCCACTTGGGGCAACCCTACCTCCCACCTCCCCTAGGGTACTCCCTAGAATGGGTGAGCCTGTTCCCTGCCTTTCCCATCAGGGTGCTCAGGGACAGATTACAAGCACTATGTTCCTGCCACATGCTCAGGGTCTGGCACAGAACAGACTGTTTTGAGTGACAACTGGATGAAGAAGGACTTGGGAAACCGGGGGGTGGGCAAGAGGGCTGCAGAAGGTGCCCAGCAATAGGTGAGGCTGGGGGGAGCCACCCACCTGCTGGGCCTGGCAGTGAATGAGGCCAGTGTCTGCAGCTGTCTCCTCCAGGGAGGCCGGCAGCCTCTGCAGTGTTCCAGGCAGCTCCAGCCAGCAGTGGTAGGTGGCAGATAGGCCCTGGGGGGCATGCTGTCAGCCCCCTGGACAGTGTCATAACCCCCCATAGTCTCCAGCCCCTGCCCACCTGACAACTTACTCGGAAATACTGAAGGTTCTGCACGTGCAGGGCCAAATGGCTCTCCCAGCCCACAGGTACCAAGTGGGGACCTGCCAGCCCTACCACCTGGGGGCAAGCCTCCGGTCCATGCCCCTGGATGTCCATCTGGGGAAAGGAGAACCCTCAGTCCTTCAGAGCTGCAGGAGCCCACCCCTGGGCAGCTCTGCCTCTGTTTGCAGTGCCCGCAGGGGTGGTCATAGGGGGCTGAATATGTGAAGGGAGCCCTGGTTGGGTACACCCACCTCCTGGGCACTGTAGACTGTCCTCTCACCCTCTGGGCACTGTTCCCCGTGTACACAGTGGCTGCTCTGGGGGCACCAGTGGCACCGCCAAAGGCTGCTCACACAGGCATGACACCTGCAGGGACAGGGGTCTGCTCAGGCTGGGTTCCATCTCAGGGTGCCACCCCTACCCAGCAGGAGCCAGGCCAAGGAACTCACGGGGCAGCCACCTCCAAGGCCTGGACAGCACTGCAGTCGTAGAAGGAGAAGTTGGTGGCAGCCACGGCCACATCTTCAAACATCAGGGCCAAGGGCAAGGTGATGTGGTCTAGAGGGATAGTGGTGGTAGAGCAGGGCACATGGCTCCTGTCCCCTTCAGTTCCCACTGGTCCCCTACCCAGGGGCCCCCTTACCTGTGCCTGGAGGGTTAAGAGGCACCTGGTCTTGGGGAGGGGTGACACAGGCCACATGGGGCCCTTCCACATGAGCCAAGCTATCATAGTCCCCAAAAGCACAATGGAAATATTCATCCACAGCCAGCATGGGCAGCCGGGGGACAGACAATGTGACCTGGAACACATGAGAGGGAAACGGGGCAATGCAGCTGGCAAGGGGAGGGTGGTAAGCAGGTAAGATATGCTCTTGAGGGCAGGAACAGAGGCTGCTGGGAGGCAGCCAGGGGCACCCTCTACACACAGGCAGTGGCAGTTGGTGAGAGCTTTACCTGGCCCTGCTCCTGGCGTGGGTGGTGGGCTGGCAGCAGGCTCTGGATGTGGAGGCAGTGGCTGTCCTCCTCGTAGCTCCATAGCCACTGGTTCGGCTGGGCTGCCCTCCTGCATTGGCTTTTCCGGGTGCACCTGCCGGGCAGGGGCCCATCATCTCGTTGTGTGGGTTTCAGGCTCCCTGGGGGATTGGGAGGCTGGCCCAGCTGGAGCATTGTGAGCAGGGGTAGTGAGGGGACAGTGCTGAGAGGACTGGGCCAGCCTTGGAGGTTTCACAGCCAAGGCGCGGGCTTTAGCTTTTTTGGGGGTGGGGTGGGGATTGAACTCAGGGGCGCTTAACCACTGAGCCACATCCCCCACTTTTTTTAAATTTAGATACAGGGTCTCACTGAGTTGCTTTGTGCCTTACTTTTGCTGAGGCAGGCTTTGAGCTCACAATCTTCCTGCCTCAGCCTCCTGAGCGGCTGGGATTAGAGGCATGTGCACCACCACACCTGTCAAGCTTTGGCTCTTGACTGTGAGAGAGGGACCTGCTGCTGGGTTGCTGTGTGAACTTGGGCTGGGGGGGGACTTGAAGTGGGTCAGGGGACACCATCAGCTGGGCAGGGGTCCTGGGAGTGGTGGCAGATGCCTGGACCCAGGGTGGGGCTGCTAGAAGTGAGAAGTGGATAGGTTAGGCAATGTCAGGCAGCCAATGCCATGGAGATTCATAGCTTGGTGGGATGGGGCAGAATTGAGGAACTCAGCAACAGCCAGGGTTGGTACTTGAGCAAGTAGGGCTGGACTCTTGGCACACCTAGAGCTACTCTGCTTGTACATGTTGGTACAAGCCAGGGCACATGACCACACTCACCTGCCCTGTAGAATGCACCAGCCACATAGAGGGTCCCGGGCCTGGAGGCAGCTGGTGCAATTGGGGAACTGAGGGCAGGCTGCCACGGGTACCTTGTTAACCTAGATGAGCAGTGAGGGAGAAAAATGGTGGTTGTGGAGACATGGGCCATGTGGACCTGGCCCCAGATCTTGCGACAGCCCTCACCTGTTGGGCGGTCAGGACATAGAGGTGGCCACCATTGCTGTCCACCAGCAGGTCTGGACTGATGGGTGAGCCAGGAGGCCCCACTTGCTGGGAGTGATACACCTGGCCTTGGGAGCTGTTGAGAAAGACCTGGGCAGGGGCACAAAGACAGGGCTGGGCCATCAGCTCTCCAGATGGCCATATGTTCACTGTTCGGGGTACATGCTCTCCTCCCAGCAGGGACTCCATTTCAGGAACATAAAGACTCAGAGGTGGAGGGTTCTGGAGGTTTCCCTGAGCCATTGGCAGAAGAGGCTCCCAGACAGGCCACAAGGCTGGACCCAGCCTGGCAGTGTGTGGGCTGCACTAGGGCACCCCCTTGGTCAGGCTCTCACCTTATGTAGCTGGCCTTGGGTGTCCCCCAGGAAGGCTATCATATGCCCATCTGCCTGGAGGGCTGCTATAGCGCTGATGGGATGTCCGAGCTGTAGCAGAGGTTGCGCCTCCAGGGGCTGGCGGCCAGCAATGGGGCTGGGGGTGTGCTCATCGCCACAGGGGTATGACTCAGGGGAGTCCTAGACAAGTAAGGAGTGGAAATCAGCTCCAAGGAGAGGCCCAGAAAGACAGTCAGCATACGATGCCCAGGCAGCCAGTGAGGGGAGCTGGGAGAGACCTGGGGACAGAGTGACCAGGGCTGGGGGGCTGGAAGGCTGAGTCACCAAGCCCAATGACATGACAAGCTTGCCCCACAGAGCCACACCCCTCCCTCTGTTGACATCCCCTTGCCAAGAGGTCAGCCAGCTGCTTCTCACTGGAGACACCCGGCCCCATGTCATGGAAGGAGGGCTGCCTGGTAGACAAGCAAGCAAGGTGCAGAGGAAGAAGGCAGGACATTCTGTCAGAATTTGGGGCCAGGCCCTGGCCACTCACAGCAGGCAGGGTGACACAGCGAGATGTGACACCATACTCCACGGTGGCTTCCTCCATGCCGCTGGGTCCTTGACCACTTGCCGTATAGCAAAGTCGCCGGGCCTGCTCCATGCTCCCATCCAGCTCAGCCAGGGGAAAGGCACACAAGGCCGCCTGGGCCCCCCTTGAGCCTGTGGCAAATGCCCCTAACAAGGTGTCCGGGGCGAGGAAGGCAGCCTGAATGAGGCCCTGGCCCCGGCATGCAAGGGGCACTTCCACGTAGGAGTAAAGGTTGGCATCCCCCAGGCAGATGCGGGCCACATAGGAGCGGTACTCGGCCTGGGCTCGGGCCCCACGGCGGCGGAAGATGAAGTAGGCAGAGTGGGTGTCAGCAAAGGCCCCCACGTAGCTGTTGTTGTAGTCAGAAAAGTCACCCACCACCAGGCGGCCCAGGCCCTCACTGGAGAAGGGCTGTGGCCCAGCCAGCTGGCGTACTGTCAAAGGTGGCACCCCGGCCGACAGTTTGCCTGCCAGGCCTCTAGCCACCAGCAGAAGGTCCCGGCCTGGCAAGGGCACCACCAGGCCCACTGTGGCCACTCCTGGAGTATTGGCAGCCACAAATTGCCCATCACCGGGGTCCTCAGCCTGGTACAGCACCTCGGTTACATCCCCAAGGCGCCGCTTCTCACATACACCCTGCCTCACCTGCCCACAGGCCACCAACTCCTGGGCCCTGCTGCTCACCAACAAGAGCTGGTTGGCATTATCAGTAAGCCGGGCCTGCGGACACTCAGCTGGGTCACGGAAAGGCACGCAGTCAGGACTGTCGATGACAGGGCCTGTGACAGCCACAGCCTCAAGCTGCAGTTCTAGGCTGAGCTGGAAGAGGCGGTTCACTGCGCCCACATAGAGCGAGCCCTGGCCAGGTGCCAGTGCCAGGTGGTTGAAGGTGGTGTTGGGTGCAGAGAAGTGATGGGCCCCTGTCAAGGGCCGTGGTGTTGGGGACAGTAGCAGCAGCAGGAGATGGAGGTAGTAGGAAGGCCAGGCAGCCATTCCAGGAACCTGGGGGAGAGCAAGGCAATATGAGAGCTGGTGGGAGGGAGTCCCTGATACCCCACTCCACAACAGGCAAAAGCCAGGGCAGAAGGGGAAGGAGGAGATGAGGCAGAGATGGGACCAGAGAGGAAGGCAGGGTGGAAACTAGAGAGAGGTTCACAAGCCTGGGAGCAGCCAGGAGGCAGAAAGGGACAACAGAGATAGAAAGGTAGAGAAGGGAGAGGAGAAAGAAAGACAGACAGAGGGGGCACAGAGAAAGGAGCCAGAGAGAGGACAGAAAGAGGGACAAAGGAAGTGTCCAAGAGCTGGAGAAAAAGACTGGGGCGGGGGCGGGGGCACATGCATGCACGTGCACATGCGCACAGGCAAGGGAAGAATTCTTTCGTCTTCTACTTTATATTCATCTACACTGTAGACTGGGGGCACATCCTGAGAAGCCACAAGAGCATGACCAGAGGGACTCTGAGTGACAGAGGGTGGAGGGGAAAAGAGGGGAGGAGCATGAGAGAAGGAAGACGGGTGGAAGCCACATAGCAGGGTGACCCTGCACCAGCCATCCAGACAAGAGAGTTGGCACAGGGACAAGAGCAGTGTCACCACATGACCAAGGGAGATACCCATGGTACAAGGAATAGGGAGTCCCTCATTAGCTGGGAGAGAGCGAGCCAGGAAAGATGGAGGAAGCCAGGCAGCCACCTGCTAAAACATGGCCAGACACGGCCCACCTGCCCCATGCAGAGCTGTACCACAGAGGACGTTAGACCACCTCAGGGCAGTCAGAGCAGGGGTAGAGGAAAGCTTCAAGCCATCCAGGAAGGTGCAGGGTCACCAGAGTCAGGAAGAGGCAACACAGGATGGAGGGCTGGACGGAGGCCTGCCCCTGCAGTCAGGGTCTTTGCGGCCTGACAGCAGAAGGGTCCTCAGTGTGGGAGTGTCGATGAGGAAGACAGCCCCAGTGAGAAGGCGAGGCAGAAAGACAGCTGGACTGAAGGGGTGGAGGGAGAGGGAGGGGAGCCTTACCCAAGGTACCTCACAGTTTGCCTGGAAGGGACCCTGAGTCTGAGCCCCTGAGGGCAAGGGTGGTGCCCCAATCCTCCAAAGGAGGCACCGGAGTGAAGCTCATGCCCACGAGCTTTTGGCAGCAGCCAGTGCCCAGCAGCCTCCAGCAGACTAGCCACGCCAAGCAGACCCCTGGGAAGGGGCCAGGAGCTGCCAGTAGACCCTGAATTGAACTGGGGTCTGCATGGCTGGACATGTGGGCACATGCCAGCCAGGAGCCACCCAATGCCACTCAGGCCCAGGGTCAAGCCTCAGGAAGGCCCTGGAGTCCCTTATCTCAGGAATACAGGCGGAAAGGGACAGACATTTCCTTTAGATCCTGGGTGTATCTGCGGTAACGTCTGGCGTGTGGAGGAGACACAGGACATTCGAGCCCCAGGCCGAAGCTTCCCTGTGTCCTGAGCCCTGACCTGGGCTATTTTATCTCACCCTGTGCCTTCAGGGACATCTTTGGGGATGTGGGGCCCAGGTACTTACCACCAGCAAGGAGCGAAGCAGTGGGGTCTCCTGAGCAGCGTGCCACATCTCTTCAGTTCAGCTGCCCTGAGGCATTGATGATGGGCACAAGATGGATGTGGAGGGCATTGTCCTGAGTGGGAGGGAGACAGTTGAGGCTCAGCCCCATTCATGCCGGCCCTGGGGAAGGAAAGAGGCGGGGGATGGGGGGGACCAAGGGCCTGGCGACCGGGCTCCACCACAGCTGGCAGCTTTGTCAATAGTGGCCGAGCTAAGGCAGCCCTGCCTCCACCCCAACAATGCACCCTCTGTCCAGAGGGCCAGGCCAGGGACCCACTATCTGGTGCTTTTACCCCCACCCGGGCTGTTCTGGCCAGGGGGCTCCCTACCACTCCCCGCCTCCAGGGAGACACCCCCTTGAATCTGGGGACAAAGGGACAGGGTTTCCTCCAGCCAGTCCTTCCCAGCTGACCCACAACTTTTCTGCCAGCCCAGGGTGCCCCACCTTGAGTTCCCCTGGATCCCTGTGAAGGGCATGAGGTGGACTTCAGAGCCCTCATGACAGAGTCAGAGGCACTGAACCCCTGTAAATGCCAGTCTTGGCCTCAGTAGCCTTGGTGCCTGGCTGAAGTGCCAGTCTGGGTCCTCAATGCCTGCCTTTGTTCAGGCTGGGGGCAGAGGAGACGCTGACAAAGGCATCCCATGCAGAGGACCTTCTCCCCCTCCCCCACTCAGCCCTGCCCCAGAGGCCTGGCAAAGTCGTGCCAGGTACAGCATGGTGGGGAGTGCCAGCAGAGGATGCTGCATAAGAGGAGGCTGACGCAAAAAGGACCCACAGGAGGGGGCTGAGGCCCTCTGCCACAGGGAGAACCCTGACCTTCAGACAGGCAGCTGGCTACTGACTGCTCACTCCCCTCCAGGGAATCATCCTCTATGCATGGGGTGGGGAAGGGAGGGACAGCTGGCTCCCCTGTCACTCCAGAATGGCACTCCAGGGCCATTAGTCTCACTGCCCATGGTGCAGGGCAGGTGCGCTTTGACTGGGGTCCCTGCCTCCTTCATAAGGCGCAGCACAGTAAGTGGCAGCAGCTTGCTGCCACCTGGCTGAACCGGTTGGGTGGCTGTGGGGGCAGGGAGCCAGGAAGGCACCTTTCTTACCCTGCGCTGTGCCCTGGGTTGGCGCCAGCTTTCCCACTTGGGGTCAACAGCCTTGGTCCCCCACCTCCTAGCTCCAGCACCCTCCATGTCCTCAGGCATCAGGAGGCGTCTTTGCTGGCTGGGCTACTGCTTAAAGGCCTTTGTCTGACCCCAGCTAGCCAGCCCTACACACTCTGGCTTCTCCCAGCCTTAGCATATCTCAAGGTGGTGTCCCTCAGCCCAGAGCCCTCTGTACCCCACACCCACCCACACCAGCCACATTCTTCCCTACCTGTATAAGCCACCGGCAGGCTGAGGAGCAGCTGGCAGCACCAGGAGTGTGTCCTAGCAGAGTCCCAGCCTCCCTCCCCACAATGCAATCACACCCAGCATAACTCGTCCTGGCGGGCCCTGCCAGGCAGCCCAGCCTCTCCCTGCCCGCCCCTTTGCCTGATGGCACAGGGCAGGGCACTGCTACCCTTTGCTGGCCTCCACAGGTGCAGAGAAGGGGCCTGCTGCAGGCACCAGGCTGGAGCAGGTGAGAAACAGGGGTGCTCTCCTACTGAGTCATATCCTCAGCCCTTTTTTGAATTTTTATCTTTAAACTTAGGTCTTGCTAAGATAGGGTCTTGCTAAATTGCCCAGGCTGCCTTGAACTTGTGATCTTTCTGCTTCAGCCTCCTGAGTTCTTGGGATTACAAACTTCAGCCACCATACCTGGCTTTCCTTCTTAATTTGTGGACATTCTTCCCATATTCTAGATACCAATCCTTGAGCTGTATGTCCTGCTTCAGCCTCCTGAGCTACCGAGATTACAGGCTTTAATTCATTTAGAAGGAATATGTTTGTACATGGTGAGAGGTAGGCATGTAGCTTGATCTTTTCTCAAAGGGACAATTGTCCCACTTTGGAGTCACTTCTTTTTCTTCTCCCTTTCCTCCTCCTTGCTTGTTCTCTCTCCTTTTGTTGCCCTTCCTCATCTCTCAAAATCATCTTGCTTATTCTAGGCTTTTTAGAATGTTTTTGTTTCAATTTTTGGTTTTGTTTTGTTTTCGTACTGGGGATCAAACCCAGAGTGTTCTATCACTGAGCTACATCCCCAGTCTTTTTATTTACTTTCATTTCAAGACAGGCCACCATTAAGTTGGCGAAGCTGGCCTCAAACTTGCCATCCTCCTGACTCAACCTCCCAAGTAGCTGGAATTACAGGTGTGCACCACTGTGCCCAGTCTGCTTTTAATCCACATTCTGACTGTATGTTGCCATATACCAGCTATTGTATAGTAGCAACTATTATATATTTATTTCGTATTATATAGCCTTATAAACCTATTATTAACTCTAAGAATTGTCTGGATTCCCTTTGTGGATTCTTCTTGGTTTTCTGCTTGCATATCATATCATCTGCGAGTAATGACTATTTTCCTTCTTTTCCTCCAGTCCTTTTCATTTCTTTTTCTTGTCTTACTTCCTCATATAATACAATGTTGAATAGAAGCAAAAAAATTATTGTCAATGTTTTATTATTCAGTATGATGAGGGCTGGGGTTGTGGCTCAGCGGTAAAAGCACTCACCTAGCATGTGCGAGGCCCTGGGTTCCATCCTCGGCACCACATATAAATAAATAAAATAAAGTTAAAAAAGAATTTTTTAAAAAGTATGATGTTTGCAGGGGTTTTGGTAGATATCTTTATGAAACTCTTCCACCCTCTTATCTGTTAACATGATAAATTATAATAATTAATTTTCCATTTTTTGGCACTGGGGATTGAACCCAGGGGTGCTTAATTAATTCCCCAAATTAAAAACTACTTATTAATTTTGTGACAGGGTCTCACTAAGTTCTTAGGGTATTGCTAAGTGGCTGAGGCTGGCTTTGAACTTGAGATCTTCCTGCCTCAGTCTTTCTAGTGGCTGGGATTACAGGTGTGCAGCACCACATCTGGCTGAGGAAAGTTTATAGCACTGAGTATCTACATAATCTGTTATACCTCAAAGCTCTAAAAAAGCAAAAACAAGCTAATTCCAAAACCTGTAGAAGACAAGAAATCAGAGCTGAATTAATAAAATTGAGGATAAAAAAGCAATACAAAGGATCAATGCAATAAAGAACCATCTTTAAAAAGATAAAAAGATTGATAAATTGATAAATCTTTAGCCAAACTAGACCAAAAGAGACAGAAGGCTTAAATGAACAAAATTAGAGATGAAAAAGGAATATTTTATTTTTCCTACCATAGATTTTAAACTACTGATCTAGTTTCTTTCTTCCTCCTCTTCTTCTCCTTCTCCTTCTCCTTCTTTTCTTTCTGTCATACTGGGGATTGAACCCAAGGGCACTAAACCACTGAGCCATATCTGCATTGCTTCTATTTATTTATTTATTTATTTATGTATTTGAATTAGGGACTCATTAAATTGCTAAGGGCCTTGCAAAATTGCTGAGGCTGGCCTTGAACTTGCAGTCCTCCTGTTGGAACTTCCAAAGTAGCTGGGATCACTGGTGTGCGGCACCACACCCAGCCTGATGTAATTTACTTTAATAATTATGGGATAGGATAGTTCAGGTTTTCTATTCTTTATCAAGTCAAAATTTTTAATGTGGTAAAACCCACATAACATAACAATTACCATCTTCACCACTTTGAATTGTGTGGTTCAGTAATAAGTCAACTCACATTGCTGTGAAACAGATCTCCAGGACTTTTCATCAGTAAATATGTAACTCTATACCTACTAAATAATTCCCATGTTTCCCTTCCCCTCACTATTTTCCTTTCTGTCTTTATGAATCGCATGATTATATGTGCTTCATGTATGTGAAACCACACAATATTTGTCAATTTCTGTCTGACTTCTTTCCCTTAGTATAAAGTCCTCAAGTTCCAACCATGTCATAACATGTGACAGTATATTTAAGGAAGGATAACATTCAGTTGTACCTATGGACCACATTTTGTCATCCATCATCTGCCAACAGACATTTAAGTGCCTTCCACCATAATGCTGCTATGTTCGTGGATGTGCAAATATTCCTGCTTTTGATTGTTTTGGATATGCACCCAGCAGTGGGGTTGCTGGACCATATGCTAGTTCTAGTTTTGATATTTTGAGGAAGCTCCATACTGTTTTCCATAGCAGTTGCACTACTTTCCAAACCCACCAATGGCATGCAGGTTTCAATTTCTCCCCATCCTCCCCAATACTTATTATTCGCTGTATTTTTACAACTACAAATTAGGGAAAAGACAGTTTTTTTTTTTTTTACAAGTGATATTGGAAAAACTGGATAGTTCCATCTAAAAGACTGAAGTTGGACCCTTACCTCACACTATAGACAAAACTTAACTCAAAATGAATAGAAGAGCTTCTTCTCTGGAAAAACACCAAATGGCGGATGACGCTGGTGCAGCGGGAGGTCCTAGGGTCCCGGGGTCCCTGGAATGGGTGGCCTCGGCTTCCGCGGAGGCTTCGGCAGAGTTCTCCGAGGCCGTGGTCGAGGCCGTGGAGGGGGCCGGGGCTGTGGCCGCGGGGCTCGTGGAGGCAAGGCCGAAGACAAGGAGTGGATCCCTGTCACCAAGCTGGGCCGCCTGGTCAAGGACATGAAGATCAAGTCCCTGGAGGAGATCTATCTCTTCTCTATGCCCATCAAGGAGTCTGAGATCATTGACTTTTTCTTGGGAGCATCACTCAAGGATGAGGTTTTGAAGATCATGCCTGTACAGAAACAGACTCGTGCTGGCCAGCGGACCAGATTCAAGGCATTTGTAGCTATTGGGGACTACAATGGTCATATTGGAACGGGAGTAAAATGCTCCAAGGAAGTACCAACTACTATCCGAGGGGCCATCATCCTGGCCAAGCTCTCCATCGTTCCTGTGCGGAGAGGCTATTGGGGGAACAAGATTGGCAAGCCTCACACTGTCCCTTGCAAGGTGACAGGACGTTGTGGTTCTGTGCTGGTACGGCTCATCCCTGCCCCCAGAGGTACTGGCATCGTCTCAGCTCCTGTACCCAAGAAGCTACTCATGATGGCTGGTATTGATGACTGCTACACTTCTGCCAGGGGCTGCACTGCCACCTTGGGCAATTTTGCCAAGGCCACCTTTGATGCCATCTCCAAGACATACAGCTATTTGACCCCTGATCTCTGGAAAGAGACTGTGTTCACCAAGTCTCCTTATCAGGAATTCACTGACCATCTTGTGAAAACCCATACCAGAGTCTCTGTACAGAGGACCCAGGCTCCAGCTGTGGCTATGACATAGGGTTTTTATACAAAAATAATAATAAAGTGAATGAACCCCCCCAAAAAATGAATAGAAGAGTTGGGTATGGTGGTGCACCCCTCTAATCTCAGCGGCTCAGGAGGCTGAGGCAGGAGGATTGCAAATTCAAGGTCAGCCTCAGCAACTTAGCAAGGCTCTCAGTAATTTAGTGAGACCCTGTCTCAAAATACATACATACATACATACATACACATGCACACAAAGGGACTGGGAATGCGGCTCAGTGGTAGAGCATTTCTGGATTCAATTCCTGGTACCAAAGATAAAATAAAATAAAATACCTAAATGTAAGACCTAAAACTGTGAAATTCCTTGAAGAAAACAGGGGGACACTTTGTAACGTTGGACTTGGTAATACTTTCTTGGATGTGGTACCAAAATCATTGTTAACCAAAGCAAAAACAGATATGTGGGGCTACATCACATTTAAGAAGTTTTCTGTGTCAAAGGACACATGAGAGCGAA